AGAGGGGTTCGGTGGCCGCGTGGCGGTGGGGGCCGCTACTACACAGCGATCTCGCGAGACGAGGTCGGAGCTCCGCGCAGCAGGTGCGCTCCGGATGCGAGCAGGTGTGCGCCCAACTTTAAAAGCCGGAGCGCGCGCCGCGGAGACGTCAGCGTGGACCTGGGCACGTCCTCCCCAGGCGCTTTCCGGCCCGGTGTCTGTGTGTGCCTTTTTGTTCTTTCTTGATACGGCGGGGTGGATAAAACAAACCTGAGGGTTTTCCCTGAGCTGTAGGGAACCTACGGAGCTCCGGACTTGGTACCTGGCCTGCCCTGGTAGGGAAAAGGGGTCCCATCTTGCCTTGTGTTTTTGTAGTACTGGGGATTGAACCCAAGACCTTAGCACTGAGCTACAGCCCCTGGCCCTTCCCCCTCCCTTTTTATTTTGAGATAGAGTCTCCCCAAGTTACTAAATCGCCCAGACTGGGCAGAACTCGGTATCCTCCTGATTCAGCCTCACACAGTGCCAAGATTACAGGCGTGGGCCACCAACCCCATGCTTGTCTTATAATTGTTACCTTGTCCTACAAGGGGCTGCTTGGTCTGACCCCCAGTTTATTTAACCGACCTTATAACTAACTGTAGTACCAGAATTTAAAGTGGGTTTTACATGTTTAAAATGGTTGAAAAAAAATCAAAAGAATACTTTGTGACGTGGGAAAATTATATGAAGTTCACATTTTAGTGTTCATAAATAAAGTTCTATAGGAATACCACCACCCCTTTGTTTATAGTCTGTGGTTACTTTTGCTCTTTAACGGTAGAATTAAGTAATTGCAACAGACTGTGTGGCTCACATTCCTAGACTGTACCCTCTGGCTCACTACAGAAATGGCTGCCAACCCTGATGAAATCTTTTCCCTTTTCATCTGTTCCACTCCCACCACACTTCACCCTCATCCTCTTGGCTGGCTTCTTCTAGCCACTCAATGCCAAACACGTCAAGTTATCTCAGAAAGGCTTCTGACCACCTTATCAAATGTTCCCCGCGTTCATTCCCTGAAGGATGTTTGTAGCGTAATTAGCAGCCGGGTTGGGTGGTACTGGCGCGTACACGTAGTCCCCGCTGTTCTGGAGCCTGGGCAACATAGCAAGACCTCATCTAAAAATAAATAAATAAGAGACAGAGACAGAGACTTTTTCCCAGTGAACAGAACCTATGCTAAAGAAATGAGCTTATAGAATGGTGTGAAGCTCAGGACCCATAAAATGGCACCCCTTAAGACAGTCACTTAAGAAGTACAACAGCCACCAGTGTTGGCCAAGTTGGATGGCAAAAAAATAAAAAAAAAATTTCTGGTACTGAGGCTTGAACCCAAGACCTTTGAATTGATCTGTATCCCTGGCACTATTTTTGTTTGCTTTTTGGTTTTTGTTCTGTGTTTTTAGTTTTGTGTGTGCACATGCATACATGTATTGTGTTGTTGTTGTTGTTGTTGTTGTCCTTATTGTTTGAGAAGGGTTTGTGCTGTGTGACTAAACTGCCCAGTCTGGGTTTGAACTTGTGATTCTCCTGCCTCAGCTTCCCAGAATGCTGGGCACCACTATGCCCAGCAAAATATAAATAAATAAATAAAATTTAAAATAAATTTTAAGACTGTAAGCCATGAGATTTTTATAGTTTATACAGAGACAAGTCAGTATTTTCAGAATCTCTGTTGACCCGGGAATATAGTTTAGTGGTGGATCATTTGCCCAGCACACACAAAGCCTAAAGTTCAATCCCCAGTACCACAAAAACAAAAAAAACACAAAATCTCTTTGTCAATGAGGCAGTCAAGTGACTCCTCTAGGCTCCCAATCTTTTGGATCATAAACTTAAATGGGTTCTAATTATCTGGTAAAATTCTCTCTCTTTTCATCCACTTTCTCTATTTTTTTCTTTGTCTGTCTTGAACATATTAACAATGATTATTTTAAAGCCATTGTCTAATGCCAACACCTTCTTCACTTGTGCTTCTCTTTCTATTGACCATGTTTTCTCTTTCGTTTTCAGTTATTTGGTCCTGTCTCTTGGCAGGCCCTGTGATTTTTATTGAATGCCAGTCATTGTGTATGAAAAAAAAGTCACAAATTCTGTTACCTAGTTCTGGAGAGAACTCACCCTTTTTCTGTAAGACAGATAACATGGGACTTTCACATCTTTTCACACACACACACACACACACACACAGACACACACTAAGGAATGAACCCAGGGCCCTTCACACCAAGCAATATCCTCAGCCCTTTTTTATTTTTTAAATTTAGAGACAGGGTCTCACTAATTCACTAAGTTGCTGAGGCAAGGCTCTGTCAGTCCTCCTGCCTCAGCCTCCCAGAGTTCTGGATTATAGGTGTGCACTACCACTCCAGGTCTGCTTATCCTAGTTCAATCAGGGGTTGATCCAGATGAAGGTTCACATTTAACTCTCCTCTCTCTCTCTCTCTCTCTCAGCCTTGGAAATCCCCAGTTTTGTCTTTCCAGCCAAAACTTCTTCTGGTTTCTCTGTGCCCTGGTAGTAGACCTCTTACCCAGGAAGGTTTAGATTTTTAACCTCTTTCCCCATATCCATATTTGTAAATACCTCCAGGGGAAAAGTGGCTGCAGTACCTGAACTCCTCTCATCATAGTTCCCTTCTGTGTAGAATCTCAGCCCTGGTAGTCCTGGTTACTTCCACAGCTGTCTGAACAAATTTAGTAGAAGAGAGGCCTGGGGATTTAGTTCAATGGTTCTGCCACCTGCCTTGCAACCACAAGGCCCAGAGTTTGATTCCCCAGTACCAAACAAAAGTTAGTATAGGAGGGGGAAGGCAGGGGGGCTTGACCTTGCTTTTCTAGTTGTTCTTAGAGAAAGGAGAAGCTTAAACAATGAAAATAATCAGAAGCCAGAGGTCATTAATTGCAGGCTATAAGCAACACACAAACGAATATCCTTCCTATGTTTGAACACACCCCACTTAAGGAGTCCCACCTCTCCACAAGAGAAACTAAAGCACTTTTCCAGATGCTTCCTTCCAACCACATCTCCTGTGATCTGGGCTCAGCCATTAGACACCTCACAGGACATTCTAATGGGAACTGAGAACCAGTACAGAGGTCTCTGCCCAGTGGTAACATGGCACCCAATGCTTCTGCTTCCGGGGGCTCTAGCCCACCCCACATAAGCCACAGTGTCCGTACTGAGGGGCTGTGGCATGGTGTTCAGGGGCAGCCCCCTAGCCAGACTGGGCACTGTTCTTGGCCATGCAGCCCAGGGCTGGCTGTCTTGTCCTCCTGGAGATTCTAAAGGCTAGTCTACCACTATCACACTATCTGTGTGACTTAAGCCACAGTTCTGGAAGCTGGAAGTCCAAGATCAGGGTCAGTGGTGAGGTTTCTCTGTCTGCCTGGCTCAAGGCCACCTGCTCACTTTTCACTTTGTCCTCAATGGTAAAGAGAGGTCAAGATCTCAAAATCTCTCTCTTTACAAGGCCTATTGTTCTAGGGCCACACACTTATGGCTTCATCTAACCTCAACTGCCCCTAAAGACCCTATATCCAGATTCACTCGGGGACAGAGCTTCAATATATAGACCAAAGGTGGGATGGAACACAATTCTCCACTCTCTTAAAGTACCTTTGCTTAAGCCACCTGGAGCAGATTGTGTCACCTGCAATAAAGAGCCAATACTCTTGCAATATCTCCA